CTGGGCCGGGGTGGGGCCTTGAGAGAGAGGGCGGGACGCGAGGATAGGCAGAGCCTGGGCTGGGGTGGGGCCCGTGCTGGGAGGCGGTCCGCAGGGCAAGGAGGACCTGGAGAGTGAGGGCGGGTCTTGAAGGAAATGGGAGTACTTGGTTGTCGGAGAGCGGAGCCTGGACGAAGCGGCCAGGGACAAAGTTTTGAGAAGAGGGTCAGGGCGTGGCCTGGATGGTGGAGGCGGAGCCGCGTGACGTTTGGGGTGGAGCTTGCAGACCCGGGCTCTTGTAGCCGCAGAGTTCGGGGCTCGCTCAGAACGAGGCGGATCTTACCCTCCGGGGGCGGGCCGTGGAGAGGCTACAAGTGGAGTTTAAGAGATTCGGCAGTTAGTGCTAAGCTATTCTGGAGTGGGGCCAGGGTGGGCAGACCTAATGACTGGGGAGGGTCTTAGATTGACGGATGCGTTGAGAGTTACGGGGTAGGGGACAGGGCTGAAGAGTAAAGGGAGAGCGCGGTGTTGCTTAGGGGCTGGCTGAACGTGATGGGGGGCATACCGGGCTGAGGCCCGTGAGATGAACGAGAACGGGGTCGAAAGCTGGGTTCTGGGCCACCGAAACGGGAGGAACTGGCCGGGCTGGAGCGGTGCACCCCCGGGGCGGGGTCGTCGCATCCCCGGCGGGGTGCGTGCAGGATGGGGCGGGGTCTGGCGGGCCGTAGAACAGTAGTCTGGGCCGAGCTCCAATCCCTGCGGCCCGGTCTCGGAGGCAGGTGGGACACGGAGCTGGTGGACTTGGCGTCGGGTTAGGGGCTCCGGTGGAGGCAGCGCGTGGAGGAGCAGAGGGAGTTCGGTGGGCTGCTTAGCCGCGGGCGGGCTCGCAGTCGGGCAAGGAGTCCGAGTCAGGCTGGGGCCCAGGCTGGCCCGAGATTTCGAAGGCGGATAAGGGGCCTCAGCCACGACGCCAGACAGTGCGATCGGGGGCTGTAACAGGACGCCCGAAGCCCGGAAACGTCGTGTTGCTTGTTGGGGGCGCGGTGGGTGGGTTGTGACGGTTCGCCCCCCTCGCTTCCCCTGATCTGCCTGCACAGGAGACGCCAACCAACGAGCTGAGCGTCCAGGGCCCCCCCGAGGGGGATACGGACCCGTCAACGCCGCCAGCGCCCCCGACGCCTCCCCACCCCGCCACCCCCGGAGATGGGTTTCCCAGCAACGACAGCGGCTTTGGTGAGGGCGGGGCCTGGGGAGGAGCGGAGCGCGGCTGGAGCCCGGGCAGGTGGAGGGTCTGATCGCGTTCCCTCCTGTGCCCGCTAGGAGGCAGTTTCGAGTGGGCGGAGGATTTCCCCCTCCTCCCCCCGCCAGGGCCCCCCCTGTGCTTCTCCCGCTTCTCCGTCTCGCCTGCGCTGGAGACCCCGGGGCCCCCCGCCAGGGCCCCCGACGCCCGGTCCGCAGGTACGTGCTTCAGGCCGTCTGTCTCTCTGTCACCCTTGATCTCTCCCCCACCTGCTCATCCCTATCTCTGAATTTGGGTCCCTTCATCAGTCCCTCCTGACTCCCCACTCAGCTCTGGACCCAGCTCAGATCGGGTGGCGTCCATCAGACTGTCTGGGGCAGTCGTCTCCTCCCCTCCCTGAGCCTCACTTTTCCCTTCTGGAAGGATTCCCTTGACTCCTGCCCACCTTGTCCCATCTGTGCTCAGACTCCTCCTGGCACGTGACAGATGCTGCTCCTACCTCCATGGTGGTGGTGGGGGGGAGGTGCTGAGCTCCTTGTCAATGGTGACAGGGGAGAGGAAAGGGGAGCTCAGAGCTGGCGGGTTGTCCCAGAGCAGAGAGGATGTGGCTGGTGTCCACAAGAGCACCCAGTGATGCGCCCTCTGGTGTTAACCCTGTGATCCACGGGTGAGTTCCAGTCCCCCCTTTTGAAAATTTTACTTAATGTAGTTTTTGCTGTAGGGCTCATGAACTGTTGAGAGACAGAGAGAGAGGAGAGAGAGAAAGCGAGCAATCACCCCGGGGGGATGGACACGCCGTAATCTCTTCTCCTCCATTCTCGCGGGATTTGGGGCCGTAGGCACGCACACCCAGCGTTGAGTTTCAAGCCTCCTCCACGTGGGATCTGTCGTCCACGTGGGGTTTATACCGTGTGCTCCATACCACTTGCTGGCGCTTTAGTTCCCATTTTACAAAAGAGAAAACAAGACAGCAAGGAGGGAAGCCGAGACTCAAACCTCCACTGGGGACCCCTGAGCCCCCGCACTGCTCTGCCGTGTAGTCTGCATCTGTCCGACTCCTTTCCTGTGGCATTTGGCATACACCTGACTGCTGATCCCCACCAGCACCATGGGAGCGTGTCACATTATAAGGCCACCCTTAGAGTGAGGAGGACATGGACAACCTCAAGGGGCAGGACTGAGGCTGGCTCTGGGCTCTCTGCTGCCCCCTGCTGCTGATCCAGAGAACACCCCTGTGCTTGGGCTTGGGCTGAGGGCCCCAGGGAGGTAGTTTCCCGGAGCAGAACTGAGGAAATGGGGGGTGCAACTGGGCCTTTTCTTTTATTTTTTTAAAAATTATTTTATTTAACTTTTACTTATTTATATATTTTTAATTTTGACCAGAGAGGGACAGAGTGAGAGAGGTGTGGGGAGAATGAGAAAGCAAGCCACCAGGTTCTGGACTTGAACCGTGGTTGGCCATGTAGGAATGTCCAGCACCTTAACCAACACACCACCTGCTGGTCCCAGAGAAGAATTTCACAAAGGGTTCCATTCCTGATCCCCCAGTCTTGCCCGAGCGCCATTCCTAGGCTGTGTGACCTGAGGCAAGTCTCTTCCCTCTCTGTTTCTCTCTGTGCTTTAGGGGATGCTAACAGGATCTAGCGCATAAGATTATAGAGGTTGAGTCAGCAGGTGGACGCAGGTTGAAGCAGCTGGATCCCACATGGCCAACTGCATCACTTGAGTCTTGGTCCTCATGGCTTGAAAAACATGCCAGGCGTACATGCATGCCCAAAATCCAGAGAGGAGAATGGAGGAGCGGGGATCATGGCGTGGCTTTTCCCCTTGGGGGTGATTTCTCTTTCTCTTTCTCTTTCTCTGGCGAGTGCACGTGCCCTTATAGCTCCTTCCCCTCAAAAACAACCTGGAACGGGGAACCAGCAGTTAGCGTAATGGCTATGTCGCTGGACTCCCATGTAGTCGACTGAGGTTTGCGTCCCGGACCCGGTGGCTTAAAAAACTCATGCCGGGCGCGTGTGCATGCGTGCCCAAGATCCCGAGAGGAGAATGGAGGAGAAGGGATTGCGGCGTGACCATCCCCTCTGGGGGGTGATTTCTCGCTTTCTGTCTCTCTGTCTCTGTCTGTCTGGCAAGCGCACACACCCTATAGCGAAAAACCTCTAAAAAAAAAAAAAACCCTGAAACGAAAGGATTATTAGGGGAATTAAGTGGCTGGACCCTCTGGCTCACAGCATGGAGCCCGACTGTGCCGCAGTGACCTCTGCCCGGTGTCACCGACTGAACTAAGTGGATGTTTGTTGCGTCTCCACTGGGTGCGGACACCGTGCTGGGCACAGGCGACTCGGCGCTGCCGGCTCAGCCTGTAGGCACTGACCACACCATCCTAGTGCATGAATCGCCACCAGCTCAGGGCTGCGGAGAACACAGGTGACAAGAGGAAAGGGCTTTGTCTCCCCACAGGTGTCATTTACTAGGCACCTGAAGGTTGGTTGTCATAACCAGGTGAAGGGGAAGAGTTACTGACTGCCAAAGGGGACGGCTTATGCAAGAGGCCGGAGCCAAGAGAGCCGGGCCGTGCAGGGACAGAGGGAGAGCGCTGTGGCTGGGGCTCTGTCCAGTGTGCAGGGCGGAGGGGTGAGGCTGGAGCAGGCAGGCAGACTGCAGGGCTTGGGCCTGGGGGTGCTGGGGAGCCATAGAGGACTGTAAGCAGGGGAGGGCAGGATCAGCATTGGGAGCAGGAAGGCCCCTCTGGAGCCATGATGGGGCCGAATCTGGGGTAAGAATCCAGGGGCAGATGGTAAGGAGCCAGGGCTGGGGACGGAGAGGAGGGGACAGGGCAGAGAGAGCCAGGGCGAGAGGCACTGGGCTGGGGCACTCACTCGGATGCATCCTCAGGCCTCAGCCCCAGTGTCGCCTCCTCCCTGAGGCATCCTCCTGGGGCCCCCAGGACAGGGTGAGTTGGTTTCCAGGGTGTGGGACACTGGCCAAGCGGTGAGTCAGGCCGGCCAGCGAGGGTTACTTCACCTTTAATCACCAGAGGAGGGGGAGGGCCTGATCATGCGAAACCCCAGTCTTGGCACTCAGTAGACACATCGTCCCTGTGTGGTGGCCATCCCCCACGCGGGTGGCATGGAGGCCCAGGGTGGTCTCTCCGTGCCGGCCGGGCTCTGTGCACTTAACCAGCGCTTGCTGGGTGTGAGAGAAGCTTCGTGTTGCAGTCCCCCCTCGGCCTCGGAAAGGAGACAGGGTTGTGCTCCCCGTTTAAAGAGGGGAACTGAGGCTGGAGCAGGGAGCCAGGCAGCAGTTGCCCAGGCCTTCAGGGAAGGGCTGAGAGTGAAGGAGCCTGACACAGGGTCCTCAGTGCCACCGTCAACCGCAGACCTTGGCTTTCTGGGGGAGAGGCTCTTTGCAGGGAAGGCTGGGGGCAGGGACACTGGCGGGTTCCCGAGTCCCCATCCTTCCTGAACTTACCTCCTAGGGGAGCGAGTGGGCAGGAACCCCTTCACCAGGACCAGGCTGGGCCCAGAGATCCCTGGAGACTGGGGTGGGGGTGATTAGAACGGCTGTGGGCGAGGGTGGCTGCTGGATGCAGGGGAGGGGGGCTGGTGGGTGGCGCTGCAGTGGCCTGAGCTACGAGGGAGGAGCCGTCCAGACAGACAGCGGCCACAACCTGCAAGGCCTAGGGTGGGACTGTGCTGGCAGCTGGAGGGAGCCAGGAGCGGTGTGCCTGGAGCAGGGGGGCTGGGGTAGGTGAGGATGGGGAGGACCCTGTGGATCACGCAGGGCTCCTGGCCACAGGAGGACTGCTTTCACCCTGAGCGAGAGTCAGAGCCATGAGTGATTCTGTTTCTCCGTCCTCAGGCCCCGTGGAGAACTGACTCCCCGGAGATCCGACCCCCCGGCACCCCCAGAAGAGGGGTTGAGGGTAGAATCCTCTGTGGACGACGGAGCCACTGCCACCACCGCAGACGCCGCCTCCGGGGAGGGCCCCGAGGCCCTGACCCCCTGGCCCCTCCCTAGAGAGCCACCTTTCTCGGAACTGAACTGAACTCTTTTGGGCCTGGAGCCCTTGGCACAGTGGAGGTCCCTCCTTACCCACTCCCAGCCCAGGCAGTGGCCGCAGGCTTCGGGGACCGGACCCCCATCTCGCGTCTCCCTTTCCCCTTCCTAGCCCGGCCTCTGGAGGGGCCTCTGGTTCGAACCTTCGCGTGGCATTTTCACATTATTTAAAAAAGACAAAAACAACTTTTTGGAGGAACGTGGGGCCTGTGTGTATTTCAGGAGGTGGGGTGGGGCAGGTGCAGGCGGCGGGCTGCCCAGACAGGCCGCCATCCCGCCATCCTCGCGGTTCCATTGGGTAGACGCCCCCTAGTGGCCAGGCCGGCTCCCCTGCCCTCATCTCTGAGCCCCGCTGCAGCTCCTGACGGCTCACGGCCCACCGTGGGAGGCAGCACGTGGTCAGGGTGAGTTTCCAGTGCCCAGAAGCTGTCCCGGGGCCAAGGGCCCAGAAACGACGAGCTGGTGCCCACGCTGGCCTGTGACCACATCCCACACGCCTTCTCAGACCAGCCCTGCCTGTCTCTCAGAGGTCCGGGTCCACCTCCGTGTCCACAGTGGCTGTGCCTCAGTTTACCTGCTTCTCTGCCCACCTCTCTGACATCCTCACCTCTCCATTCATTAAAGCTTATTTATTCCATGAGCAAGAGAGACAGACAGAAAGCTCCCCTGACAGGGTTTTTAATGTTTATTTATTTCATTAATTCTATTTGTTGTTATTATTTTTCATTTGACCAGAGAGAGGCAGAGGGAAAGTGAGAAAGCAAGCGGTCAGGTCCAGGACTCGAACCGTGGTCGGTCTTGTGGGAATCCAACTCCTTTAACCACCACGTCATCTGCCAGACCCTGGTTTTGTGTTTTACATTTTTGCCATATGGCACAGGCACTGGCCGGAGAGACAGAGGGAAAGTGAGAAAGCACCCCTGGGGCGACGGCCACCCTCCCCTCTCCTCCATTCTCCTGGGACACTGGGCACGCACGCGCAGTTGGAGTGATCCTCAAGGTGCCATGTGAGGGTCCAGTGCCCTAATCACCACGCCACCTGCCGGCCCCCACAGGGTCTGGATGCCCTGACCGCCCACCTCAGCCAGCCCAGGGTAACAGGTGCATATGCACGCAGCTGCTCAGGGAGGTCTGATGGGAACCAGGAGCCTTTCCACGTGGGTCAGCCTCTGCTGCATTTCATGCGGCGCCACCAGCCACCACCAGCCTCCTGCTTACACCCACCTGGCTGGGTGCTCCCCGCCTCTCCGCACGGGTCTCTCTCATTTCCCCCCGTCCCCATTTGTTCTCTCTGCCTGTCTCCCTGTCGCCTGTCTCCCGTTCATCTCTCTGCCTCACATTTCTATCTGTTCCCTTCCGTCAGTTTTTCCTGGACTCCATCTGCCTCCACCCCTCCCCCCTCGACAGGGCCTGTCGTTGCATCTCCGACCTCCTGGACCTCCTGGCCTCAGCCTGTCCCTTGGTACCAGACTACGGGAACACGTGGCAGATGGCGGAGTTTGGATGAGGGAAGGGCAGGGTCAGCGCCCAGGAATTAAGGTGATGGGGGTATGAGGGTCACACACAAGGTCTGGGGACAGTGGGGAAAGGAGCGAGAGGATCAGGGTTCTGCCTCTGTGATACATCATTCTGCCAGACCTGGTGGCCCTGGAACAGATCTAGGGACATGCCGTCCCAGGATGGGTGCTGCATGGAACCCGGCCAGGGAGGGTGGTGAGGGCCAGACCCGGGTCTGAGGGAGAGGTGTGTTCCTCCTCCACGGCTTCACAGCGCGTGGTGCAAACCGCAGGAGTGAGTTCTCACTGTCCAGGGCCCTCCTCAGTGTTCCTGCGGTGTAGCCGCATCACCTTCTGCCTTCGCCACCCAGTCTGTCCCCGTCCAAATCTCCCCTTCCTGTGGGGACACTAGCCATCCTGGCGACGGCCTCGTCCGCACTCATTCTATCTGCAGTGACCCTATTTCCAAATGAGAGCATGTTCCGAGGTGCTGCTGGCGGGCGGGAGGGGCGGCCTGGAACGCTGTATAAATCTGCGGGGACAGACTGCATCCTATTAAGTAGGTGGTGGGGAGTTGGGGTCCTGGGCATGGATTGGGGCCAACACTGAAGGACGAGTTAGAGGGGACCGGCCAAAACAGGCCTGGTGTCTGCCGGAGCCCCCCTGCACCCCCCGCCCTGTCTGCGGCATCGTCAGTCACCGCCCCTCCCTGCAGCCACAGCCTCCCCGCTCCCCTCTCTGCCCCCCTCAGCTCACCTCCCAATTACCCAGCTGGCTGGAGCCAGAGAGGCCCCTCCTAGATCTCAATCTTAACCCGTCCCGCTGCAGCCTCCTCCCTGCGGTGGCGTCCAGTCCTGCAGCACAGCTGACCAGGCCCTGCCTGCGCCCCGCTGCTCCCCCAGCACCCCTCAGCTCCACTGCGGTTCCTGCGCACGCCCCGCCGATCCCTGCCCCCGCACGTTCTCCCAGGCCGGCCCCGGCCCCCCGGCCAGCCTCTGCTCCAGCAGGAAGCGCGATACCCAGACACCACGGCGCTTCCACGGAGGTGGGCAGGAGGGGGACACAGTGGTGGGACGTTTGCCTTCACTTCTCAGGACCTTCTCGGGTTCGTGACTCCCCTTCCCTTAGACCCCCGAGAGAAGTGGGAAATACCACCTTCTCACTTGGGGCTCGAAGCGATCTGGACCCCCAAGCTCCACAAGGCTAAGGGACTGAAATGAACCCTACTGCAGGGTCAGGAGAAATTACTGCTCCCAGGAGACCCCAGGCTGGCCGCTTCGTTGGCGGCGGGGCCGGTCATACAGCCGGGCACGGTGGTCGCCGCCCGCCAGAGCAATCAGCAGCAGGCAGGCAGCGCAGAACTCGGCTGGCACGACACAGGGGCGGGGGG